CTTCACTGCTGCAAAGCAAACATGCTGAGTCCCTCTGGCTAGAAAACACTTCCCTAGATATCTAGATGCTGTGGGCTGACCAAGCAGCTTACTCTCTCCTCTACCTGAGTCGGGGACCTGACTGGGGCCAGAGCCCCATTAGCGTCTCATTGCTAAGTGTCCAGCCTCCGGTGGTGGAGTCGACAAGCCAGGCCAGCCCAGATCGGCAGGTGGAGAATCGACCTCTTGATGGAGTAGTGACTAATAGACAGCGCTATCAGCAGTCAAGTGATAACTCTGGTTGTGCAGACCTAGCTGTTCTCCCAGGCGGAGGGGGAGATATTGGGCCCCAAGCCCACCTACCTCTCTGCCTCCTGCACCTGCAGAGCTCATCTAGTGCTACATGTGTGGCCCTGCCCTGTGGGTGTGCCAGCACTTCTGAACTCTCCTCAGTGTTGCCTAGGGTTTACTCTGGGCCACCTGTGGAGGGGAGGCACCCAGGATTAGGGAGGTGCTATCAGTGCAGATATCTTCATTCCAACCTAGGCTATGCCGGGAACATGGAAAACTCTGGCACCGGGCCATGCGAGGCATTTGCTCTCCTGGGAGGGATCCCCAGGCCCATGCCCTGCTGTCTTGTGTGCTGCCCTGGAACCTGTCTGCACAGGGCTCCATGGCTGCAGGCCTGCTTTGCCACCTCCGGGCTACATGTGTCTCAGCTCCTTGAATGGAAGTGGTATAATAGTGGCACTGTGTTGGTTAGGGTTGTGTTCTGCTGTGAGTGTAGAAGACCACAAAAAAGTGCTTTTCACCAGACAGGCCTTGTGCGCTTCCCATAAGATGCAGATGGAGGTCAAGAGGATGTAGCATGATCCTTGTGTTACGGATCAGTTCTTCTACACAGCCCAAGCCGTTGTGTGCCAGCCATGTGCCAGGCAGCAGGTCAAAGGGAGGTGAAAAATTGGCTCTTTACAGAGAATAGTGCCACCATCTTGGTCATGGCTGTCCGCAAGGAAAGCCAAAAATGGTCTTTACTGGGGGGCCAGAGCACAGCTGCCAGCTCAGTTACTGTGGAGTGGGAGTGGGCAGCTGTCAAGCCAGGCAGAAGTGCATGGGGTAGGAAGCCATACCTGCTGGGCCATGTGCAGCCAGCCCAGTCTTCCTTTGCCAATGAGTCCCAGATGGGTTAAGGTCATGTGTAGGCACTGTGGGGGATAGTACCCACCCCTCTACCTCAGCCAGAGCCTCCCTGTTGTGCTTCCCCTGCACCCTCACACCCCCAGCCTTTTCGTCTAGAAGAGTGGAAGGATTGCTGCAGAGGAAGAGGCAGTCTGTGCGGAGTTAGGTGCCAGGCCCAGGAGGGGACATTTATCCTGTGAAGGAAGGAGGCTGGGACTGGAGGTGAGTGGGGTGGGCTACAGGGGCAGCTGGCGCCCGTCAGGCCTGACAGCTAAGCATGTGGGGGTCACATATTTCTCATGCCCTGGCAGGAATTTAAGAGCCTGTCTTTCATCTTATCAGTGGTGTTAATGCAGCTAAAGAAAGAATGTGCAAGGACAGGTTCCAGGCTGGGGGCTAGAAGAGTTTCAGGATGAGAACAGAAAATATAGCAGACAGGGCCGAACCCACTAGCCATGTACCTGGGCCAGTTTGTCCGGTGCAGTCCCCCCCTGCCTCTTGCCTCTATCTTCCCTGGCAGGGCCAGGGCATGTGTCTGATAGCCGATGAGATAAATCAGTGGGCCCAGCCACACTTGATATATAGCCAGTGGGATGGAAGCAATCAGTGGGTCCAGCCAATGATCAACTGGTTAAGGAATTATAAGCCCCATGGAAGGCTGTTGGGGGTGGAGGGCTTATAATTCAACTCAGTAGCTCCTATCTCTTGGGAGTGTACTTTCACTTTTACTTAGTAAACTATACTTTCACTATTAGCATGTTTTGTTCAATACTTTATAATTCCAAAAACCTGGATATCACTAAAGTCATCCCATAATACTCTCAGAAAAAAAAGTCAAGTGAGGACTCTGGGGCAGCCCAGCAGGAGGCCTTAAGTAATGATAGGCTCCCTCAGGCCTTTGCCTCCTGGGTGGGCAAGGATGTTGTGATGGGAAGGAGGAGACAAGGTGGGCTGGTGGGCTGTTGCTTCTGGTCTCAGACAGAGATGGGGGGCTCTGGACAGCCCTAGTGGAACCTGAGCAGGGCTCTCTGAGGGGCCATGGGGAGGGGACCAGGAGCTCTGGGTCATCTGGAGCCAGTACCTTGGCTAGGGGAGGTGTCCTCAGAGCAGCCAGGCCGCTGGGGCTTCCAGAAAAAAAAAAAAAAAAAAGGGATGGGAGTGGGGCTGTTGCTTCTGGTCTCAGACAGAGATGGGGGGCTCTGGACAGCCCTAGTGGAACCTGAGCAGGGCTCTCTGAGGGGCCATGGGGAGGGGACCAGGAGCTCTGGGTCATCTGGAGCCAGTACCTTGGCTAGGGGAGGTGTCCTCAGAGCAGCCAGGCCGCTGGGGCTTCAAAAAAAAAAAAAAAAAAAAGGGATGGGAGTGGGTAGGTTTGCATGCAGTCCCTGTTGAAGCTCTTCACAGGGACCCCAAGGACTACAGGGGGCACAGGATGGCAAGAGTGTGCAGGAGGCCAGGCTCGTAGACCCTTGGGTCCTGTTGCGTTTCTGTCTGTTTTCTGTCAGGGAGCTGCTGTCTGGTAACGGTAGGGGGAGGCCCAGGCCTCCACCATAAAGGCCTCACGGTGGACCTGTGGGCCTGGCCAGGGGTATTTGTTCCCAGGAGCTGCCTCTCAGCCAGTGGATGACATGGAGCCAGATGGTCCCCTTTCCAGGGCTCTCAGTCATGCCCACTGCATGCTGCCTTCCCTGGTCTGTTCCCTTTTCCTGGTCTGTACTGTTAGCCTACCTATATAACAGAGCCTGGGCTCTCTGAGTGTGAACCACGGCTGCTCTCTGGACTCCGCCTTCTCCCCCTCTGCCTGTGCTGCCAGGTTACTCAGATGCAGCTCCATCTGACAAAATCGATTCCTTCCAAGCACTGAAAACCAGTGCTCCCTGCCCAGGGCTCTGTCTGAATCCCATGACTGCCTGGAAGCCTCCCAGGAACTATTGCTTAAACAACCACTTTGAAGTCTGACTTAGGGCTGTCCACTAGAAATGCAAGCCACATATGGAATTCAGTTTTCTAGGAGCCATGGTTAAACAGTAAAAAGTAATGGAGACAGAGTTGGCAGGTGGTGAGGTGGTTGGGCCACTGGACTCCCACATGGCTGAACTGCAGTTCAAGCCCCAGACCTGGCAGCTTTCTTTCTCACTTTCCCTCTCTCTGTCTCTCCCTGGTCAAATTAAAAAATTAAAAAAAAAAGATGGTTATAAAGTTGAAATAAAGTTGAATAAAATAATTATTTTTAAGCGTTACTAGTAAGATAAATTGCATTCTTTTTTGTACTGACTCTTCAAACCATGATCCACACTGGCCACTTTTCAAGTGTCCAGTAGCCATGGGTAGCCAATGGCTCCCTGAATAGCACAGGCTAAACTCATCTTCATTCCTTTCTGTTCCTCTTTCTCACATGAGACACACTCTGCTCTCAGTTTGCTCTAAGCCAACACTAATATAGGCAGCTTTGGAGCAGAAAGTACTAACTTTGCCAGATAACTACACTAAGGTGGGGAAAAATATTTTTTTAAAGAATTGTTTTATTTAACTTTATTTTTTTTCTTTTCTCTCTCTCTTTTTTCTTAAAATTTGACCAGAGAGGGACAGAGGGAGAAAGAGAGACAGAGAGAGAGAGAAAAGTGGGAGAGCAAGCCGCCAGGTCTGGGACTTGAACCTCAGTTGGCCATGTGGGAATCCAGTGCCCTTAACCTCCCTTAGCCACCTGCCAGCCTCCCAAAAAGATCATTTTTTTAAAGCAAAATCATGATTTACCCACAAAATAAAATAAACACCTGCCAAAGTTTTATTTATTTGATAATTCATGAGGGAACCTGTAAGATATTTCAAATGGTTTATAGGGGAACTCAGAGTGGACACTCCTATAGACAGCCAGAAGTGCTGAGCTGAATTGTAGTACCACAAAGTTGGCTTTCTCTGTGGAGGAGCAGGGAAATGGCAATCGTGTTTCCACCAGAAAAGTGATTTGCATTTCTGTGGACAGGAATCATTGTCTCCCTGTCAGTCACAACAGCTTGCAGAGCTGCAAACTCCTCTACCCCTCAGGGGCGCCGCTGCCTCAGCTGCCTCAGCTGCATGCCAACAGGTGCAGACGCCCACTGGCTGGTAGCTGGGCCCTTCTCATATTTTTAGTCCACTTCACACTTCCTTGTTGTCCCAGAGAGGCTGGATCTAACACTGCTCCTTCCTTCATGAATCCTTCTAAGGCTGCCTGTGTGCTCTCTGGGAGTATGTATGCACACACACCCAGGATCCTGACGGCATGTGGAGTTGGAAGAGAAGGAATGGCAGTGTGCCAGGCCTGGGTGGGGGAGTGCTCTCTCTCTCTTATTGGGTCCCTCACGCACACACGTGTGCACATGCATGCCGTCATTCAATAAAAGGGATAGTGGCTCACTTGGATTCCCAGGTAGGAAGTGTGGTTGTGTTTTTGAATGGGTTCGTCTGTGCTTTTGGCACAAGGCTTAGCAACCCATGTGCAGTTGTGAAGGAGGCCCACTTGAGCCGGTGGCAGCAGGACAGGGGAGGCATGTAGGTGGGGATACCAGGGCCTACCATTGAGCTGGCTGAGTACCAGCAAGCAGCCTCTTCCATGCACTGCCTCAAGCAGCTGGTAGTGACTGGGCCTGGTGGAGCAAGTGTGAATCCTAACATTTCCTCTCCTATAGGAGTGGCCTTGGACAAGATGCCCTCCCTCTTGGGCCTCAGTGTCCTGTCAAGGGGGCATGATCTCTACCCATACTTCAGCATGGGGTAGGTCAGTTGCCTAGCTCCTGAACCGGGCCATCCCCTGGCCAGTTCCACCTGCCTGTCACAAACAAGCTCCCACTGCAGATCTAGTCAACACAGAGTTTATTGAGGTCTCTACGGGCCCGCCCCTCACTCCTCTTTCTCGTCCCCATGGGTGATGATGTAGCACAGGGACTTGTAGTCGATATTTCCCGCCAGGTCCACAGGTGTCAGGGCAAACATCTGCTCCACCTGGGGTGGGAGACACTGGTGAGTAGCAAGGCCTGCTAGAGGCAGGGGAGGGGGAAGCCCTGGGGCACCTGTGACTCCACCCTACCCTGGCTATGCTTTGGCCCATAGCCTTGTCAACCCCAGACCCGAAGTGCCAGCTTCTATTATGATTTTTCTGACTGACTCTGGGCAGATGAGACAAGCCCATAGGCACAGACCCACCTCCAAATGCTCCTACCTGGAACTCCGCACACAGCCTCCTGCCTGACACCCTCGCTCTTTTCTTACTCCTTGTTTTCACCTCCCAGGTCTCAACAGAGAAAGCCCACCCACCCCCGGTCACTTCCTCCACACCACCCAGGTTGGTACTGGGCTCTGAGTCCTGGAGGGCAGTGAGTCGCTGAGGCCTCTCAGTTCCCTGCTGGATGAGGCTCAGAGAAGGGCCAGGATAGGTGCCAAGGATTCCAGGAAGTCTCACCTCTGCTAGAGAGAACTTGTCTGCCTGTGTCAGGAGCAGCTGCTTGAACCTGGGGGTGAGGAGGGCCTGAGTGGAGACAGCAGGGCAAGCGGGCACCAGGGGAAGAGGCAGGGGGATCCCACGGCCCAGGTAAGGGCTGGCCACCCCCAAAGAGCCACCCACCAAATCCCCAAAGTATAGGTGTACTCCCACTTCCCAAATCCCCAAGGTACAGGAGTACCTCCCCCACCCCTCAGGGGCCCTGCTGCCTCTGCTCTTGGCTGGCCTCATAGCCAGATGTACTCACTCGTCCTTATTCACCACCCCAGTGCCGCTGGGGTCGAACATGCGGAAGGCGCTCAGGATGGCATCCTCAGGGTCTGTCCCTGGGAGGCCACGGCAACAGGTTAGTACCTATGTCCCCAGCCTCTGGGCCCCACCCAGGAGGAACCAGGGTGTGTATAGGGGAGCCTCTACATCTGGGGGTACTTGGGGGCTGGACCCAGCCATCCTGGCGCATGAACCTGGCTGGCAGACTGGAGTTGAGACAGGGTGGTAGAGACTGAGGGCATACCTGTCCATGGGATGGGGGGGCAGAGGATGTATGGGCAGCCTACACTCTCTGATGGGGTCAGGTGGGATCAGCTGGAATCTAGGGGGAGTTCAGATGTTCAGGTGGGGCCAGGTGGGGTCGGATGGGGTCAGGTAAGGTTCATGGGTGCAAGCTTGCTGCCTGGTCAGGAGAGCCCAGCCCTGCCCTGGGCTCACCATTGAGCTTCTCGCCAAAGAGTGTGAGGAACACAGTGAAGTTGATGGGGCCTTTGCCCTCCTGCAGCATGGCATCCAGCTCCTCCTCCGGGACACTCACCTTCCCTAGTGAGCATGTGGTATGAGAGGGACATAGAGTCCCAGGTGTCCCAGGGAAGGAGCAGCTGCCCTGCCCTCCTCCCTGGCCATAGTAGGTGGAGAAGCAGAGGCAGCTCTGGGTGGGAAGAGGGGAGAGGCCTGACAAGGGGGCACGAGGTGAAGAGATGGGGCAAGCAGGGCTGGGGCTGGCGGGGCAGGGTGCTCTCACCCAGCTGGCAGTAGGTCTCTCGCAGGTCTGACTTGCAGATGATGCCATCACGGTTCTGGTCGATGCAGCTGAAGGCCTGTGGGTGCAAGGCCTTCAGGAGGGAGCAAGGATTCTCCGAGAAGGCAGCAAGTGAGGGACCCCCTAAGGAGTGTAGGGAGCAAGGCCAGGGCTGACTGCATGGGGGCCCCACTAGACTCTACCTCTGGGCTAGGTACTCACCTCCTTGAACTCCTGGATCTGGGCTTGCTCAAACATGGAGAACACGTTGGATGAGGCGCGCTGGGCCTGCTTGGAGGCTGCAGCCTTGCCCCGAGTGCTTGCCTTTCGACTAGCCTGCAACACCATGGACAGTGACTGTCCTCTCCCCGGTTCTCCAAAGCCTCCCCCAGCCCCGCCCCAGCCCCAGCCCCAGCCCCAGCCAGAGAAC